GAGTGAATGTCACCCGAGACCCCAGTAAACAGGAAAGGAAAGCAGGCCTGTGGCATCAGGCCAAGTTAACACCACATGAATCAACCTAAATCCCACTGCTGCACACTGGAGGCCAGGCCAGAGAGCAACCACAGCATTGTAGGATGATTCTATAGGAACTGAGGCGGGTTTAAATAAGCTTTCGAGCTGAACTTCCCAACCATATAAGTGGCCAGAGAGCATGGAGCTCAAGAGAGCAACAGAGCTGTGGTACAGCTGGAGGGTTTAATGGGTGTGCTAGAATGTATCTGTCCCAAATGCCTGGCACAGAGGAGCAGGCACTCAATAAACACATGTGAAACAAAGAAACACAAAGGTATGTCACATGGAAACTCTCTTTAGGGCAAGGGTAGACCACAGAGAGGGTAAATTAAATGCATCTTTCTAAAGAAATAACCATTTTCTGACCTTTTCAATGCCCTGTTCTTTACAAAATGGCCTAGAACCACTGTGGGTAAAACCTGAAGGTAGGAGGGAGCCCTTGTTGATCCAAGTAGTAAGTACGCAGGACACACAGAGCAGGGTCACAGCAAGGGGGAAAGCTCATGAGTGAGAAGAGCAAAGATACAGCTAAAGTAAGGAGCCAATCATAAGAAACCAGAAGGAGGTGTATATGGTCCTGAGCTTCCTGGGGAGAGCAATGACCAGGCAAGTTATGACGGAGATACAGTGATTCTCTGCATCCTTGGAGCATTGGGTCCAGATGAGGGTAGAAAATATGGTCCCAGGTATACATGGGCCCCTTAAATAAACTCACTGTTATCTCCTGGAAATCATGAATGGCCACAAGACCTTAAGATGGTCCAACCTACAGATGCCAAAACTTGCCTAATAAAACACTTAGCACTGGGGCTCAGGACATGGCTTTTTGCATTGGAGCAAGATATGGTCTGACTGTAATAATCATGTCCCACTCTAGACTGGGGATGTCACCATGGAGATTTTTCTTCCATGCTAGTTACATTCAGTTTCCTGTTCTCCTTTTGTCCACCCCTTGTCTTTTAGTATCCATTCTTCTCCACATGTTCTCTCAGCATTTGGCTACCAAAAATCTGTGGAGCCCTCTAAACCCATCCTGTTCTCTTTCTCTCCCAAACACCTGGGTCATGACTACCTCAATTTGGGGCCACTAAAGCCACATCATGGGAAATACAAGGCCTGGATGGCTCCCCAGCTGTGCTGTCTCTATCCAGGGGTTACAGCTGACAGATTCCTCTCTGTGGCCAATTATTTTCCATGGCCCTTGGCTATATGACCTTGGACCATGATCTTGTCAGTTCTCATAAACTAACCAGGAGTAGAATGAATTACACTCAGAGAGGAAACCTCTGGGGAAAACTGTAAGAGGCTGTGGGAGGAGAAAGACCGTAAACCGAGGACCCCAAGGCCATGAGAGTCTCAGTGTCATCCATGCCTCCACCACCTCAGAGCTGCTTTCATTGTATGTGAAGGGAAGGAGGCAGAGTCAAAGGCCTTGGGGAGGCAGGCTAGGCTGTAGGAGGGCAACTAAACTGAATAAGATTTCGTGTCTCAATCCAAGAAGCTAATTGTCCCCAATACTCCCAACTTGGATAACTTTCTTGGTCACTGATTGAACCCTTCAGTGGTTAACACTCAAGTCTATTCTTAGGAATCCTGAATAAGTTACATGACAGCTGGCACATTTATGGGTATCCCTACCTAGTGCTGGGATGGATGACGTGGGGTGTAATGGCTAATAAAAAGGCCTTGCCAGGCTTTTGATTCCATGTGGATGGGGAGGAAATTTGGGGAGTGCAACACCAAATATTATATTGTGCCAAACATATTGATTAAAACTCACAAGGAAACACCAAGGAAACCTCCATATTCTCCAATATCCCACATGTGGCTATTATATCCTCCAAGTCCTAAGTTTCTCCATCTTACTTGTTACTTAAATAAATATACCTATTTAATATAGTGACTAAATACAATTACTTAAATAAAGATAATTATCTTTTTATTCTGAATAATCTTTGGATTTCAGATTTCTATGTCTTTGCAGTTTGGGGTAACAAGTTACCTTCAGTTGTCTGATAAGTTGTGAGTGGTTACTTCTGAATAAAATATGCACATACCAAAAGATCTATTGACTATGCATACATTTAAGTTGTTTTCTAGGCATCTGCTGGCTGAGTAGAGTCCTGGAGAGTAGCATGTATTCATGTGGGGATGGGAACAGCCCATGCATTTTTACATGCACAAAAACTCAAAGTGCTGCCTGCTATTTTAAGAGTCTAAACTCCAGCTCTCAACAAAGTTAAGCCCCTTTCCTTTTGCAAATGCATTTAATTTTATCTGGAAACTTTTTGACGTTCGAAATAGAACAACTGTAGTTTCTCATTATGTTTGCTGCCAGAATCCATGCTTCGTTGCTCAAGTAAAGACCTTATATTGCTAATTACTACCACATGCCCATATCCCAAGCGAAAGGAAACTTATTGATTCTGACAGCCCATTCTCTCAACACTGAATTCCAAATGAAAACTCAAATTTTGGCCAAACATAACATTTCATCAATCTTGTTCTACTGACTGGAAAAACAACATCAAACAAAGGGTGCTAATGGCCCTTTATTACCGTTCCTTTCCCAAGCTTATATTTTCTGATGAAAGATCTAAGTGACCAAGGGCTTCTTTAAACTACTTGGTAATTAGCTTTTGAACCAGGAAACAATGCATAAAGTAAAGGGAACAGCCCTGGTGTTGATGACAGGACATACCCTATGTCCCAAAGGGTCCAGGGACATTGGAGACCCAAAAGAGAACATTAAAAGCAAAATGCATTTTCATAAAGGGACAAGAAAAAGAGGGAGGAAGGGGAAACCAGGCTAAAAGCAGTGATAAACGATTACAGAGCCAGAATGGGACAGGAGGGGCTCTGTGATCTAAAGCTCTCAGCAGGTGGGGCTTTGGGTAGACATGCCAGCCTTTAAACCTGACCAAATCAGACCATGGCAGGCCACTGAGTACTGGTCTGAGGGCCTCATTTAGGCCACCCATCAACAAAATCTGCCAGCCAACAGCCCACCCATATTGGGTCACAAACACTATTCTGAACAAGAGGAAAAAAATTCCACCTGGAATGAGAGTCAAGAAATACTTTCAACTTAGATTTCAAAGCCATTGATTTTATTGACTTGATTGGGGACAGGGATAAGGAGATGCTGGCTGAGACCAGTGGGCTGGGACAGCTATAATGAGGGCCTGGGATACCTTCTACTTTACAGAGACCTGTCCATACCTCAAAGACATACCAAATTAGGAGGCTGTTTTCCTCTTGGCCTGAGATAAATGATGGAGAGGGAATCTTTGGGCTTATTTGGCCTTTTGGAACCAACCAATGGCCCAGACTTCAGGACAGCTTGGTTCTAACCTTATCCAGGACTGTTAAGATAATAGGAAGGGGAGATGCCCATGGGGGGAGATGGGGAGATGAGCTGCCTTCCTGAGAAGATGCCAACTGGCCTCCTTTACCACTGTCCTCTGTGTCTATGAGAGGAAACTGCTGTCCTGTGGGTAGTTCAAGGAAATGAGCCCTTTCTCCACCTCCTCATTTTCTGAACAGAGGACTGGACACCTGAGCTCAGGATGTGTTGGATTTAGTAATCACAGAGAAGCTCCCTGAGCTTCATCCAGCAGGGCCAACTGTCAAGATGGGAGGGGCAGACATGGGGGGGGAGGCATTTCCTATAGGCTACTTTCTGGTTCTCTTAAACACCAAACTAAGCTAATACTGTGACAATAAGTAAGAATAAGTAATATGATAAAAGAGCTCCATGGTGGGGGATGGGCATGAATGGGACAGTTGTCCCCGCTTTCATACACATGTGAAAGGCAGTGCCTGGGATGTAGCTCAGTGCACATTCTTCTAGGTGTACACAAATGCATGACCATTTCATTCTATGCATGCCATACCCTGAAATAAAAACAAAACAGAATGGCCTTCTGAAAGCTTTCAAACCAAGTATTTATTGACTTTTGGAGACTGTTGCAGCCACCCCATCTTCCCACCAACACTCCTCTGTTGAGATGGCCCTCTGGCGGTGGGTCAAGAGACTAAGGCCCTGATATCAGCTTTAGAATAAAACTCCTAGTCCCCACTGGACTCATGCCCTGATGCTGATGCTGATAAAGTGACCCAAGCACAAACTGAAATAGTTCCCAAAGAAGGAAACCTTTATATTTGGGAACTCAAACATGCCTGTGGCACCCCTGACACCACAACTGTAACAAGTCCTGCCCTGGAGGCATTCCCACTGTGCAATGAGACTCTTTAACAACAAGGCGTGGAAATTACTGATTCAGAGAAGCAAGTGTTTCCTGGTGGTCACAGGTATTCCAGAGGGAAGATGGGCCAGGCCTTGCCCTGTACTGCAGTTCTAGCCCACATTAGTACAAGCACCAAATCCAGTGGATGTTGCCATCTCAGTCGGAGGGACCAGAATTTGGTCATTATCACCTACTCATGAAATGAGCTTGTTTGTATGTTAAGGATGAGGGTAGAAAATACCGTCCCAGGTGTACACGGACCCCTTTAAATATTCACTGTTATCTCTTGGAAACTGTGACTGGTCATAAGACCTCAAAGATGGTCCTGCCATCTCCTGTGCTCTGAAACCATGCCAAGACAGATTGCACACGCTCCCTCATTAAACAAGTGAGCTGGGTGTGGGGAGGGGCATGAGCCACAGGCATGGGGACTCTACAAGTCACTCAAGCACATCTCCTCTGGTGCAACTGACTTACTTTCTGCCTCCATGTTTGTTAAAAGTCCCGCCGAATTTATTCCGATTCAGGATGAGAGCAGCAATTTCGGGCACGTAGCGGGCAAACATTGCCTACATGCATGAGACAAAGAAACAAGAGCCAAACAGAAATGGCATGCAGAGAGGCTCCTACACCGGCCGCGGAGGCCGAGAAACCTCTTGGCATACTTACTTTCTTCCACTAACCGCGCTATAGGAGCCCCCGTATTTCTTGCGGTTTCCTATTAACTCTATGATTTCAGGGACGTAGCTGGCAAACATGGCCTAAGGAGAAGAGGGGAGACAGAAGAGAGACTAAAAAGACAGGCCAAAGAAAGGGTGACCTTTTCAGAGGGGGGAATACTAAGATCTGAAAACACAAAAGGATTAGACCTGTGAAGGTGCGTATTCATGTGTTGGATTTTACAAAAATAACAGGACAAAGGGGAAAGCTCCTGAAAATGCACGGGATGAAACAAACAGGAGTCGACCTAGAGGACTAGAAAACAACAAACCAGTCTAGAAAAAACGTAAAGGAGACAAGAGTAAATGAGCTAATGTCTTCTTCCTGAAGGAAAGCAGCTAAGAGACTTGTAGACTGGTGAAAGCACACCCATGCAAGTGCACACACACACACACTTACATGCATGGACAGACACACACAAGCACACATGCACAGGCACTCAGGCAGGCACACACACGAATGTGCACACACACACACACACACACACACACACACACACACACACACATTTTTGTCAGAAAAGCCCTTCCAAATAACACTCAAAGGGGAATATTTTTGTGAGTGGCTAAAGACACTAATACTAAGAGAGGATTAAAAATAAACATATTCATTTAAAATGACCAAAAAGCATAAGAGGTCAATTTTGGAAATCATACAAGAGGAGAGGATAGCAAGGAGACACGAAACTGCCATGTTTTGCCCAACAAAGACTGTCCTGTGGCTGGATAATGGAGTTTCCTTATCTATGGGCCCTGCAGAAATGGTGTTAATGTCCACCACCACACGCATTTATATACATTTTGAAAATGTATGTGTCCTATGCATACAGAACAGAGAGAAATGTATGCATTGCTTCATATAAATGTGTGTGCAGTGCACATATGTGACAGCTGCGTGTGGACTAGTAATCACTTACCTCATACCCCCCCCCAAAAAAAAAATCATTATGAGCTACTTTGAAAGACAAAATGCAGCAACTGCTGATGCATTGCCTGGAAACTCCCTGGAATGACATCATATGCAATCGCCTCTTACTACATAGGGACCAGTGAAGCCAGTTTCACTGAGAGAAATGGAGTGGGCTTTGAACATAGTCATGTCCCAACAATAGTGACATTTCCTAAAGGAAGGGACCCTGCTCTTTAGGGAATGCCAGCCACAGTGTTTGTTGGAAGTTTTCTGAGGACCATAACGGGAGGGGAACTCTTGAAACCGCCATCTGTCTACAGAGTCTGGACAGCATCATCTACCAGAGTCAGCAGCAGCAACTATATCTGAATCCCACCACTAAGGACACTCACATTTAACAATGGCATCTATCTCTTTAGACAATTAGGTTTGCTCCTAACTATGTAGCTATCCCCAGTGAGGACAATAGGTCTGAGGGACAAGCATAACACTAAAGAAATATGTAACAAAGTCACCATAGTGTTTGGATCTAGCTTGCCTGGTTGGTTGCATTAAGGCAGTTACTTGCTTCCACTGCAGAACACATAAAAAACACAAAGTCTAAGGAAGTGGGTATTAGTAAATATTAATAACCATTATATAATTGGCATAATAAGAAAGAGGTTGTTTTTTTTTACCAGTCCCCCGAGAATGAAGAAGACCATGAAGAGGCGTCCAAGCGTAGTTTTTGCATAAACATCTCCGTAGCCCACTGTAGACATTGTGACCATTAGTAAGTAGACACATTCCCAGTACGTAAGTGCCTGGTTGTTTTGAAAATTTTCCCATGGGTCCCCTGAATTCTCCACCTACAGCAAGAGGATAGAGGGTGGGGAGAAAAGAAACCATCAGGTGTCCATTTGTACTGTATATAGAAACCAGGAAGACCAGGGCTCCAGAGGGCTGTTTTTGCATAAGCTTCTTATTCTCAGTACAGGATAGATGATTCCCTGTGCTAGTCACTGGGGAGTGATGTCCCAGAAACCCTCAGCTGGTAGCAGAGAAGAGGAAGTAGATATAGCAACAGGGAATGTCCTCTGACTGACGGGGGCACCAAGTAGAAACATCCCTGATTTGCTTTCCTGCACAAAGTCCTGATGCTCTGGCCTCCTTTACAGAATTCCCTTTAAGGCAGGGTGAGGCAGCTTTCCACCTTTTCCCTGGTATATCCTAGACCTTCCACAAAGGGCTCCACACTTCTTTGCATCATTGTAACTAAGGACATCAGACCCAGCTCAGGTTCTGCCTGAATCCCAAAGATCATCTCCTCTTCTAAGGCTGCAGTAGCTTTCTTTGGAGAATCCCACTGGCAATTCTGCACTTGCAACTCGGGAACCTTCCTCTGGAACAAGAAGTGTGAACTCTTGGGAATTGCATCGCACACAGTCTCTAGACCAAATGCCCTGCAGACTTTCGGTAAAGGGTTCAATAGGTTCAATTAGGGCTGCTGAGTTCCTGAGGTTTGCATAGCTACTCAACCCTGTGAGTGTAGCTGGAACCCATCAGGGAGCAGGCAGTGGGTGTTCAGCTGGATTTAGGAAACCTGAGCCTGGAACTGCAGACTGCTCTTAGCAATTGGCTTCAGCAGAAGTTGGGATGACATAGGGTGAGATCTGACTAGACTGCTACCAGTATAAATAGTTGGGTAGGGACTGGAGAGGTAGCTCAATGGTTAAGAACATATATTATTCTTACAGAGGACTGGAGTCACTTCTAGCAGTTTGCAATCTCCTGTAAATATAGCTCTTCTTAGATTTAAAGATTTAAAACCCTCTTCTTGCCTCCATGGGCACACCCACACATGTGCACATATCCCTATACAGACACACAGGCATACACACACACACACACACACACACACACACACACACAAAACCTTGTGTAAAACCCCCAATTATGTGGCTTAGCAGCTGATGGAGACAATGTCTTTTATTACAAGTTTTACAGTCTGATGGGGCTCCTTCCAGTTGTAACAGTTTATGCAAATATGAAATGTGCATTTAATAGTAACTATACTTTCTGAAAGCAGGCAAGAAAAATCATCCTGGGGATGTCCCTGAGAAGGGTTGGCTTAGTAATAGCATTTAAAGAGTCTTTAATAAAAAAGAAAAAAATAACACTTGCGGGGTTTGAAACAACTTGACAAGTCATCAAGTAAGATAAGCAAAGGCAACTTTTTGTGAGAGAGAAGTAGGGACAGATCCAGGGATCTGAATTTGTTGTTTACAAAGAGCTCCATGGTTCAAACTTTGAGCATTGGTGCAGGACTTTTTCTTTGCATTTGCTGTGCAAGCAGTGCCATCTTGTGGCCTTCTAAGGTTATTGCATACAGAATTGCATACAGAATGAAAACTCCAAGTCTCCTTGAAGCAATACAGGTAATGCTGGAAAATGCAGATTGATTATGCGAACATTATGCACCATTTGGAACTAGTTTGTGGGGAAGTAAATGGTAGGGAATTCCGAAAATTGTGTTGTTTGTCCCTCTTTCCCGTGTCTACAACCAAACTTGTCTCTCTTCAAAGAAACAAATGTTAGGTAATAAAATGACCCAGGCCAGCCAGGAAGGCAAGGTCTTCAAGGCTACTTACCAAATGGATGAATCCAGCTGCTGTCAGCCAAGTGCTGATAAATATGGACAGCAGATTCACCAGCTTGATGGAATTGCTGTGCAAAGGAGACAAAGAGAGAGAGGCCCCAAGTTACAGAAAGGAGACCCTCTGGGAACTGCCCGATGGTGTCACAACGTCCCCTGATTGGTCAGGAGTGAAGGTCTCAAAAAAGTCTGTCAGAAAATCACAGCTGGACTCAGCATTAGTCCCCTCGAATTCATTAAAAATGAACTTTTCCCTAAAACAAAATTATCCAACTATACAGAAAGAAGAGTGAGTAAAATTTCGATGTCCTTCGCTTTCATTGACATTTCCCCACATCTCCAGTATCTCTGTAGAGTCTATCTAATTTTCTTCAATGGGTTTCTTCTTTCTGCGTGCATTTTTATGTTTTATTTGAGCCACTGTGTTGTGAATATCACAGTACAACCTCTAATCACTGCAGCAGTCAACTCCTCAGAGGGGACACCATGTAGTAGATTCATGACACTGTTATATCCAAGATAACTAATTCAACTCAGCAACGGGATCTAACATACAATCCTTATTTAAATGCCTTCAGTCATCCTGAGGTTATGCTTAGTGAAGTTGCTACCATTTTCATCTTGCAGCAAAAGAATTCTTATCTCCTACCTCCTGGCCCAATGCAGCCCCTGGAGATGCTAGCCCTTCACTTTGGGCAATTTATCTATGACACCACTGTCCACTATCTGCCTATCTCTTTCTCTTGGGTAACATTACCTATATTCTAAGAACTCAGGAGGTTAATAATGGTGACATATGAGACTTTCACAGTATGTCTGTAGTCCTCAACCCATGCACCCCTATTTTGAGTGTTAGATGCAACTGACTCAATCTTCATAGGACCCTTTTTTGAGACCAATAGGGGGTTAGGAAATTCACCAGTTTTACACAGTAAGTCACACAGCTGGAAATGGAACTGGATCCATTTGGTCACTGTCGGTTCTATTACACCATAGCCACAGTGTAGTGTCAATGAGAATAACTTCATCAATGGCTGCTGGAATTTGGATCTTGAATGTACAGTGAAAAGAGCAGGATGGAGGCTATGGTCTAGTGGGTGGTCCAAGGTTTTGCAAGGGAGGTCCCCCCAACAGAGGTTGTAATCATTTGTCCTGGGTCAAGCATGGAGTTTTCCTTCACTTACACTTATGTAACTGAAGAAAGGCACCCACCCATGGTCTCTGTTTATCTAGAGTGGATTCTAAGAGCTCAGGAGCAGAATGAGTAAGTGCGTCCAAAGCTCTGGGTGAGAATGGCCTTTCGAGGTGTGTGGGACATCATCCTCCTTGTTTGAAACCATATGCCAAGAAAACAACAGACTACCCATTCTGTGCATCTTGGTCATCTGCAGTATTACCATTTGTAGTTCCTGCTGTTTGCTGAACTGTTGTTATGTGCTAAAAACTTCGCTGAGTTCTTCACCCTCTTCAGAGTCTCACTCTAACACAGGTGGTAGGTGCTCGCGCTACTGTCACTCACCGCCTAGAAAACAGGCTTAGGGAGCTTATTTAGGTTGCCTGGGAATCATAGTTTGTAAGTGGTAGGCTGCATGGAAGTAACTTGGGAAAGCCGGGGATGGGGCAGTGAGGGGACTTCTTTGCTGTCACCCTGTGGTTTGTCCATCGCCTCTTCCTAAGGACATATATCTCCTCACAGCCCCTGACCTAGGAGACCAGGGTATCACTCAAGAGCTCCTCCCTTTACTAAGAAGTCCAAAGAAATGTGGCCAGCGAAAGCCTCAGCCAGTAGACAGGCCCATCAGACATGCTTTTCAGGAACTGCATGGAAGAGAGTTCTAGTCCTTCTCCCATACAAATTTGAACAACCTACCCTAGAGAAACCCTCCTAAAAACAAGCCCCAAAAAGATATATATAGAGAGGCAGAATCCAAAGGAGGGAAGCTGAAGGCCTGAGTGCAGATATGCCTAATGTCAGCCATCCCCTTTTGGACCCAGTCATTCTGGAAGTGAGTTTGGTTACACAGCAGAAATGGCTCATATCCAGAATGTTCTCTGAGAGCATCATAACTGGTCAGGTCTGTCTACTCTGTGGCCTGATGTGGTTAGCTCCATGGCTCTACATGCCATGGTTTGAAATTGGAAATCTCAAGGGCAAGCATGCTTGTGCTAGATCCTGACCTTCCAAGCTTTTCCAGACACCTCAATGGGTCACCCTACCCTTTGCCTCTTCTCTAAGTCAGTTCTGTGACTGGAACTAGAATCACCAGTTAACAAAACAATGCTCTTACCAATTTCTATGCAAGCCTTTGTCTGCAGTTGGGACATGCTGGGATCCTTGCCTCTTTGTTGCATGGAACAGCTGACCAGGCTGGAAGTCCCCTTCACTGGCTCCCAGACTTCTCTTTATCAGAAGGGCAGTTCCATGAGTTGGAGATCAGCAGGGTGAAAGTAAAACAAACCAAGCCATGGCTCTGCCTGCTGAGTGCCATCGAAGTGACGCTGGCAAACCAGCAGCTCACCTTGCTTCATCAGTCAGGTTACCACTAGGTCTTACTCCCTGTGAATTTCTCAATGGAAAACCAAAGCAGGGCTACCCATTTCCCTGTCTCTACTTTGCAAGCCCCAGAAGATGCAACCAGATGAAGAAGAAGAAGAAGAAGAAGAAGAAGAAGAAGAAGAAGAAGAGGAGGAGGAAGGGAGAACAGGTAGTCTGTGGCAAAGGGAGGGACGTATGTTCTGCTCTCACTTTCCCCAAGGAGAATTCAACACCTAATTGAGTCACTTACACACTCCCAAATCCTCAGGGCCTGGAAATGTACTGTGCCATCGATAACTGTGTGGAGTCATTTCAAGATATTAAATGTATTGACGTCTCTGAGTCTCTTGGTGCTTTGGGAAAATGGCCTAAATATGGTGATTATTAATCTCTAAATGATTGTCACAGGGATATTAATGGTGCTTAAGGGAGCTCTCGCTGTGTGCAGAACATTTAATCACTGTTGCTGAGACAGACCAGGTTCGTTGCTGAGATCTGATTATTTGTATGACAACAGCAGTATCACAGATTGCTTGCATGAGGAAGAGGTCTTGCATACTAAGCTATGAGCAAGTTAATATCTGAAAGCTATGAGCAAAGCATGCAAGATTAACCCTCAATGACTTTTCTCTGTCCTTGTGATGTGGACTTTGCCATGTGAGAGAGAACTGCTTAGGAGGGAGGGGTTGCCAGGAGAAGAATGTTATGCATTTGTGGCCAAAGATTTACTGGAGATGGCTATGTGTGGCCTTCATGGCCAAGCTCAAAGGCCTGGATAAAAAAATGAAACCATCAATCATGACAGTGCCTCTGACTGTGCAGGGTCCAGCTCCTTGCCTTTAAGGAGAGACTGTGATCCTATCATGAAAACCTGGCCCCTCTTTTAAAAGAAGTCATTTATGTGTTTCCACAGAAACTTATGAATTCCTGTCCATGAATTCTCCAAGGCTGTTCTGGTTTGGTATGTCTCTTAGTTGCTTTTTTATTGCTGTGATAAGGCAGGGAAAAAAAAATTTTGGGGGCAAGTCCACAACCATCATGGCTGGAGGCATGGCAGCAGATAAGCAGGCATGGCCCTGGAGCAGAAACAGAGAGAGAGCTAACAGGGAAGGCATAGGCTTTTTGAAACTTCAAAGCCTACCCCCAGAGGTACACCTCCTCCAATAAGGCCACACCTCCTAATCCTTCCAGAACACTTCCACCCAATTGGGACTATTTATTCTAATATATGAACCTCTAGGAGCCAGCCATTCTTATTCAAATCGTCACAGTAGGAAATGCCTCCCAAGGGCCTCTGTGTTAACAGAACTTAATCCCCCACAGGTGGTACTATTTTGGGAGGGTCTAAAAACTTTAGGAAATGGGGCTTAGATGGAGGAACTAGGTCAGAAGGGCTGTATTCCTGGAGGCTACATCTTGTCTCTAATGCCTTCTCCCATTCTCAACTTCTTTATCCTCTCTCCCTCCAGGTAGCTATGAGGTGACCTCACTGCCATGTAGGAGCAACAAAGCCAACTGAACATAGACTGAAAACCTCTGAAACTGAGCCCAAATCATTCTTTGCTTCCTGAAGTTGTTCCCTCAGGAATTTTGGCACAAAGATGAAAGTCAGATTACCATAGACACTAGTCATCCACATGAGTGGACACAGTGAATTGCCAATGGGCAGGCAGGAATCTCATAGATCAGTGACTTCACCATGACTCATGGGTGCTGGGAAAGAGAGTCTAACTCCTAAGATTATAGCAGGAAAGCCAAAGCTTCCCAGGCCTCATCCCTGCCCTTATAAACATAAGACATGCTCTGACTAACCCTGGAAATGTCAGCCACTCTTCACAAGGAAGCAAAAATTTGCCCCTGTCCCTGTCTTCCACCTAGTTTCTGCTTGAGGAAGTAGCCAGGAGCCAACAGCCTTTTTGCTTTTCATTGCAACATTTGCTGAGTAGCTATGAAGTGTCCCAAATTGGAGAGTTGGCCAGACTATGCTGCACTGAGATTAATGACCTCTGAGATGCAAAATGGAGCAAACTCAACTGTGTCAAATCTGTCCCCTAGTTATCTATCTCTATACCAGTCTCCTCCTGTCCACCTGACCTGCTCTGAGGCTAGGCCCTATTCCCTGGACTATTGTTCCTTTCTTATCTTCAGATCTATGAAGTCTTAGATACTTCAACTCTATACAAGGAGTGGAAAGCGTGGATTTTTAGAATGCTAAGTGTCCATACTTTCTCTGCTAATTAAAATCCTTCAAACATGTCTACCTTACTCTCCAAATAACCCATCAATCTAAGTGACTGTATGGTGTGGCTTCTAGCTCACAACCCTTATAATCATCATATCAAATATCTTGCTTCATAGACTGCCTTGGAGCCATTTGCCAGGTCATATATGCAATACAATTAATTTCAATAATGCTCCCTACATGTTTTGTTTAGGTAACTGGTTGTGGGTGTGCACATAGGCTACACAGAAAGTAAAACTGGCATGGAAGACAGCAATGGCTGCCTGAGCACAGTCCAGGGTATGGAGTGCTTTATTCACCCTTTTCACTTTAACATAAAATGGTACCAATGTTCACAGAGGGCACATTAACAATTAGAAGAAACAATAAGGCAATTTTCAACTTGAAAAAAAATGTACTAGTTAAGCCATGTTTTAATAAACATTATTGACCATGTTGAACGGGATGCGAAATTAAGACTGCAAGCAGGTTGTACTTGATTCTCGTGGTGGAGCAAATGACCCAGCAGTGACAGTGGCTGATGAATGTCACCAGCTCACAGGATGACTGAGGGATGTCCAGCAACTCATACAAATGAACTAGTGTCCCTCGTCTGCCTAAAATAGGCCATCCCAGGACACAGAGTGCCTTAGGCCCTCTGTTGACTTAGTTTGGGCATTTGCCCCAATTCTGGCTATAATGTCCCCTGTTCGCTCTGGTCCCTTCTGCTGTCCTCTTAATTCTTCACCCTTTCCCCTTCACACGTATTTCTGTGTCCCATTTCTTTCGGTTCTAAGCTGAATGAAGCAATGGGAGAATAGAAAATAAAGCCATGCTTTTCATCACATTTGGAAAGCCTCCTGCCTTACCTAATACCACAGATCAGCAGGGGTTCACCACTACAGAAAACAGGACAGAATCACCTTAAACATGACACAGCTTCCACACCCCAACTCCTGCCAGAAGGTCACTGTGAAAGCATTGGAGTCTACAGAACTCACAAGAGAATCTGCCCCAGGCCAAAGCCCTAGAAAGCCAGGACTTCATTTCTTGTACAGAGCCTTGAGAAACAGGCTTAGAGAGACTGAAGGGAGAAGCAGGACATAGCCAAGCACCCCCAAAGAAGGTGACCTAACACGTCTAAAGTTCACACAACTGAAAAAAGTGTTTCTCTGGGCCTGGAGACTAGGCCGTGGCCTCCTGACCCTAAACTCACCCTTCTTTGCTCAATCACAGGGTTGTTCAGGAGCATGAAATGACTCAAAGGCCCCACATGTGTCATGTTCTTGAACTGTGTGATTCATACAAATATCTCCGTTGAACTCAGCCCATCTACCCTACTTTTCTTATGGCCATCCTCCAGTCCCAGTAGAACGACAGAAAGACCCTTCCTATTGCATTACTCCTGCCAGGCCCAGTGCAGTGTCCCTCTGTGCCTCCCAGACCTGGACCCACTCCTGTTTGAACACTGACCACTCTGATAGGAAATGTGGTTTTTTGTTCCCTTGCTGATGAGGTCTCTTGCCATAAAATTCACCAGGGGCATTCATCATACACATTAACTTGTATATATATAGAAGCTCTCTTTAGACTCCCAGGGTTCACACAGTCACCTGGTTATAACTGCAAACAATAGGAACCCAGGACATCTACATTGAGTTCTGAAGAAAGACTGTCTGACAGTTGGAATTTCTTGTGTGGAAAGTGGAGGTCCTAGCCATTTGAGGCTAAGATTGCAGGTACCCAATTGCTGCTACTCTGCTGGAAAACTGTTGCCCCTGGGAAGCACACTCTCCTCTTCCCCCAGCCAGTGGTTTCCACTTTCTCCCTCTTTCACCTAGAAAATGAAGCAATATTGTAACTACATAACTGTGAAGAGGCTATTATTCTTGGGAGCAGCCAGATCTGACTTCTGAATCTAAACTAAAGGCCCTCCTTGCTGAGGAGTGGGAAATGGGTGAGTGAGTGCCCAAGTACAAGGTTGGTCAGAGGGACCCAGATGGCACATGGTGATGCAGAGGACCTACATGCAAATGAGGAGGACAAAAACACTGTTCTATCTGCATGGTTCCTGAATGTATATGAGGGCAAGAACACCACACCATTCTAGCTGCATTATTGCTCAGGGGAATAGAATTTCCCTAGAATCCCAGGATCATAGAATAAAGTCTCATTAACTTAGTAGGTAAATGATGAGTAGGAAGAATCCTAAGAGCATGTGAGAGCGTGTGAATGGGTCCATTATAACACAACCTCTTGTCTACCTCTGCTGTATAAATCTTAAGGACAAGACCCCAAGCTTGGTACTGGACACTTATCAGCTCTCCCTAGGATACATATATATCAGCCTTGTAACACAAGTTTAGTATACGTGTAGCTTTGGAGTCTATCCTAGCACTCGATCTGTAGACCGGACTGGCCTTGAACTCACAGAGATCTGCCTGCCTCTGCCTCCCTAGTGCTAGGATTAAAGGGCCTAGATAGATATGCTAGCTTTGTTAATTGTTTCTATTTCAAAAGCAGTACAAGCCTATTGCATAAATGATCTATAAAAAGACAAAGCTTAAGGCTACTACTGCTCAGAGGAAATTTTATAAATTCCTATCCATGAAAGGCCTCATTCTCCCTGGGGAGCAGAAAAGGGATGAGATAGGAGGTTGGTGGGAGGCTGGAGAGGAGGGGAGGAAGAGGAAACTGGGACTGACATGTAAAACCAGCTTGTTTTCAATTTAAATAAAAAAGAAAAATACTATCCATGAATGATATTATAAAGAAAAAAAATAGAGAAGCCATAAATCTTTACCTCAGAAGATAAAATATAAAGGGATAGGGGACACCTTATGAGAGTTTTGTGGCTCTTTTACATTTTGACCTGTCTATAGTAAGTGCATTTTGATCTCTTATTGATACAAATGAATAGTTGGGGAGGGGATTTAGGATTAAAATAAGAAACAATAATAAAACAAAGGCACACTTGTTGGACATATCAGATTCTAGAAGCTGAGTTCCATATTTCATGACTAGGAAACCAACATGGAGTCCACGGCCTCAAATAACAGGTACATCAATTATGCATGACACAATGCAGAGCTGTCCTGCTTTCTGTCACTCATCAGACTCATTAAGGCCAACCAAAGAGGAAATGGATCATTAGAAGGGGTCTTCTTAAAATGCAATTTCCTAGTAGAGAAATTTATGAGCTGCACTCACTCCCCATTAGAGTGTGCCTAACCCTTTTATTAGTGTGTTCACCAACGCAGCCTGGGTTTCAGGGCAGCTCTGGGCACTGACAAGTCACCAGGCATGAGATTCCCTCGGGGATTTCTGCTCCTGTTCTAGCCGAGTTTTCCAGATCATAATGCAGTTAACAGAGGCAGCTATGGTGTGTTTGCCTGGACGTTTTTAGGGTTTTCCCCACAAGGCAATCTACAGTGCACACCCCAAGGGCTCTATGGATATAAAGTGAAACAGCTCAAATAGACTTAGGAAGGAAATGATTCTTTGTTTGCCATATGAAGTCTGTGATTGCCTGTCAAAGAGCATTGCTTCTTTTGCCTTTACGGCCAAGTTCAATTTCTTGTTTAGTAGTAACTAAAGTGGCATTTAGGACCTGGCAGCAAGGACATCACCATCAATGAACAAATCCATCCATCATCCACGATGCACCTCTCCTATGATGCTTAAGTTGCAGCCTCACTTGGTGCCCAGATACCAGTCATGTGACCATGCCAGACTCTATCTTCCTCCCCAGATCATAACCATATCTCTGCTTTCCTCTTATTTCTCCCTGGCTCTGCAGAAGAGAACAATGCCTGACCTCCTTTAGTAGGCTAGCTCTCCAGTTCTATGCTGTACCAGCAATTCCTGTGACTAACACAACTCTATCATTTTAACATGATAAAAGCAAATATACTTGATATTTACAAACTGTTCCTCAGAAACCAGAAAAGTGGGGGGTGGGATCTTACCTTGTCTTAAGGATATTCAGAAACTGCAAAATTTCTGAAAACTGTATCAGTCTGAGAGCTCTTAAAAATCTCAATCCTGGAAAGAGAAACAGAACACAGGTGTTATTTCCAATGTTTGCATGTCATGCTCACAGCCTGCTGTCTGAGTTATGGTCACTCATGCCTGCTTGAAGGGCTGTGAAGGCCTTCCAAGATGAATGCTCCAGTACCTCGTGTCTGCCGCTTCATTTTGATTCTCCACTGGTTTAATCTTAGCTGGTAAATGGGCTTTCTTGTTCAATGTGAGCTGTCTGAAACCAGGTTAAGGGGATGAGCTAAAAGAGAAGACCCATGTTAAGGGGGATGCTGTCTCCTGGTGAGCTCCATTGAAAAGCCCTGTTTCTGAGCTACCCAGTGGTCTGGTAGAATTTGAGTTTCTGAAAAATATTGGGAAGTGTGTTCGCTCAGGATAACCCTGTGCTTAAGAGCAGATTAAGAATGAATTGGATCACCTTATGCCTTTGATGATTTTTTTAATCTTTATTTTCATATTGTAGAACTTAGGTAGCTTTCTGGGCTACCTATGTTCTACAATATTTTACATTTTCTCCCAATTAAAAACAAAATAAAAGAGAAAAATAAGTACAGATCAGTAAGCTACCACAATTCACAACTTCAGGATTCAAAACTTTAATAGTTCCATTGTCACTGATGTCAATGGTTTTTCTTTTTCTGTAGCCCCTCTTTAATGGAAGAGTTACAGCTTCTAAGTAGAGAGGGATAACAATCAATGAGTTATTTTAGGTTTTGTTTTTCAGAACCAGGGTGTCATGTAGCCAGGCTGGCCATAAAATTACTCTATAGTAAAGGCTGGCCTTGAACTCCTGATCCTCCAGTCTCTACCTTCCAAGTGCTGGGAAGACAGAGATGTTCCACCATACTCAGCTTTTTCTTTTGTCTCTTCTTTTCTTCCTTCAAGGATCACTCTATTTCTAATTCAAAGTCAGATGATAAAAATATTCTGAATTACTGGACAATGGTGGCACACACCTTTAATCCCAGCACTCAGGAGACAGAGGGGAAGTACTTCTGTGTATGTTTATCTTATTGATTGTTTAATAAAGTTCTGTTTGGCCAATGAAACAGCAAGTTAGACAGGACTAGGAGTCAAAGAGGATTCTGGGAAATGTAGTAGAGAAGTGGTGATCCAAGCCAGAAGTGACATAGCAAGGAGAAGTTCCCTTTTTCCTCCTTACTCCTCCAGCGGCAGGATGTGAGCCACCAGCAAGGAGGAACGCCAATAAGGCATCTGATAAGATAAGTCTTATAAAATAAATAGATTTATGATAATTAAGACTGAGCTAGCAGATGAGAATTCTAGTCATTGGCCAAGCAGCTTTGAACGTAATACAAGTCTTTCTGTGTATTCATTTGGGCCCTAACTTGGGCGGGCAGCTGGCTGGCGTAAAGTACACACGTGGCTGTGGGGCTCAGCAGTTTTGGCAGAAAGACTTATCATAACACAGAGGCAGGCGGGTCTCTGTGAGTTTGTGGCCAGCCTGGTCTACAGAGCAACTTCCATGACACTCAGGACTACACAAAGAAACCCTGTCTCAAAAAAACAAAACAAAATTCAGAATCAGTCATGGACTTTAACACCTTTACCACTACTCTGGAGAACTACTGGCCAAATGCCACCAGCAAGCTTTGGGGCACTACTTCCCAGGGATTTCCTCTACCATACTTTCAGGAACACCTCAAGTCCAGGTATAGTACTGAGCACAGAGGGCTGAGCTGACAGCGGCATGACTAGGCTGAGCAGTGACTCTGTTCCCCTCAAAGGAGGCAGTGAAGGAAGTCTGATTTGCATGGTGAGATGAAGTGAGCCATAAGATTCACTAGAGGTGCCCCCAACCCAAGGTGAAGCCTGGGTACCTCCTCCTTGAACAAAAGTGCTCTAACTGGCATGATAGAACTGTTTTAATAATAAGTAAAAATTAACCTACAGTCGAGAAGTGGGAATGCCCAACTCACAAAGGAAGAAGGAGAAAATGCTAGGGGCTCAAAGGGAACATTTCTCATCTGGAAAGAATTCAACTTTGTAAGCAAGAGATGATTTCCAGAAAACATATTCCTACTTTGCTAAAGGGTATTTATATAGTTGTTATTAACCCAACCAGGCAGACATGAGAATGGAGGTTGGCGGGATGAAAGAGGCCCAGAAAGCTGAGGACCCAGTAATACCAAATTGATGGAAGGCTTGCTAACACAGCCGAAAGCCCAATCTGAGCAGACATTGCCTCATAAAAGGGGAGGGGGAAAGATAAACACAGTAAAAGTAAACAGCAATGGGGAGGAGACCACAGAGACCCAATGGAGGAATAGAAGGCAAGTACATACAACTCCATGATCAGAAGCAGTAGCCAGAACAGAAAAGAGCTATCTAGAAATGCATAAAATGGTTTGAGATTAAAAGAGCCAAGATGTACCTGTCTTTTTCTGTTTGTTTGTTTTCAAGTTTCAAATGTAATAATCAGGTAACACAGAATATAAAGCATCAGTGTTGGGATGGATATTGAAACAGGAAATGTCAAATGCTATCATTTCTCTAAATGTTCTCTAAAGCTCATGTGTCAAAGGCTTGGTCCCTGGCACCAGTAGGAAGTGGTGGAACCTTTAACAGATAAGGCCCTATGACTATAAGCCAGACCATTAGGGGAATGTTCTAGAAGGAGATGTTGGGACGTTAGCCTCGTCTTCTCTCTTTCCCATATCCCAGCCTCCATGATGTGAGCAGCTCCATTCTACCACACACTATTCACCACTTACTGTTCACTGTTCACTCCGTGCTTCCCAGCCCAAATCCATCTTCCCCACTTCTCAATTGTTTGTCTCAGGTGTCTCGACACAGATGAAAAGGTAACACAAGTAACACTTAGGAAACACTCAGAATTTTTTGACAGTGTCTGACCTAAGGTTTAATAGCGACTCAAGCAGCTCTGAAAGACTAAAATCCAGAACAACAAAAACATCTTCAAATACCGTATCTTTGTTGTTTTCTCAGACTGTACAGATCAGTACCTCAATTGATCAATCAATCAATCAGTCAGTCAAAGTCACTAAATCAGGTCAGAGGTTAAGGATTGGAGAGTACAGTTGCAGACTTCATGCCACCCAGAGATCTCATGGCACCATGTCATACAGTGACAAGTAGAGAACTTGAAGTAGCCAGCTGGGATAGACTCACTAGCAACATGGCTGCTATTCCTGTTTTAGCTACGTACATGGTCTTTGTCTGTTTCTATGTACAGATGGGTGTGTGTATGTAGGTACATATATAAGATTTATGGAACCAAAAATAGAATACTGCTTCCCTAAACTTTGAACTGAATTTCTTATATTTTACTTTAAAACCCTGGTGTTTGTAGATTGCCACATTCTAATGACTTATAAACATATAATGCAATAAAGGTTTTCTTCAGTGGAGGTGAGTGTTTATGAAGCTAGGATTACAGGGAATGGAGGAGGCATAGAGCCTACCAAGATGACAGTTAGCTTTAGTGGTCAACTTGACACAAATGTGGAGTCATTTGAGAAGAGAGCACTCAACTGAAGAAATGCTCAGATCAGACTGACCTATACCAATATCTGTAAGGCGTTCTGTTAATTGTGAATTGATGTAGGAAAGACCAGCCCACTATGGGTTGTACCATCTCTACACAAGTGGACCTGGGCTGTATAAGAAAGTAGAATTCTTCCATGGTTACCACTTTAAGCTGCTTCTTTGAGCTCCTGCCTTGGCTTCCCTGGATGATGGACTATAAAGTATAAACACTTTCCTTTCTAAGTTTCTTTGGGTCATGGTGTTTATGACAACAGAAAACAAACTAGGGCAGCCTATAACCTTGTTAGGGAAGTCCACTTAGCTAGCTCTGGGTGTCTCCCTAACAGGAGCTACCCAGAAGACAGTGCGTGGCCAATAGAGTTTGCCAGAAAAAAAGGGAGACACTTGGCTCTCAAAGGAGTTTTCCTGGAGTGGAGAGTACAGGAAGGCATCTCCCTGCTAGAGGGAATCTGGTACTGTGAGACCAAGATTCATAGGAGCTGAAGAGAAAAGGGCTTGTTTCTTTGATGCCCTCCAAGGGTCACTGCCTAAACATTGAGTCTTGCTAACAAAAGAGAAAAAGTCCAGTGTGGGATAAAAACAGACCTTGGTCTGCAGCCTAAACCCTTCAATCAATAGTTTACAACAGTTCCCTAGTGACTTTCTAAACTAGAGCTCTTGGGGTCTCTGCTCAAAATTCACCCTTCATACAGAGAAAATGTCAAAGACCTTCAGACACTTAGAGTGACTCCATGCTGAGATTCAAATGAAAAATGTCCCCCATAGGTTCATGTATTTGAACACTTGGTCCTTGTTTCGTGGTGCTGTTTGGCGAGGTCTTGGAAACTTTAAGAGGTAGAGACTTGCTGGAGGAAGTTCATCACCAGGGGCAGGTTTATAATCTCACCTGGCTTCTCTCTCTCTCTCTCTCTCTCTCTCTCTCTCTCTCTCTCTTTCTCTCTCTCTCTCTTTCTCTCTCTCTCTCCTTTCTGTATATGGATGAAATGTAATCACTGGGTCCTTGTTCTTTCCTCCATGCCTTCTTTGCCCATCTCCACCATGATGAACTCTATGACTCTAAACCCTAAGCCAAAACAAACTGTTATGTTCTCCAAGCTGATTCCAGTCATGGCATTTTATCACAGCAGCAGCATGGTAACTAACACACACTGCTCTTGACCCATCACATTCTCTTTTTATAATTCATTTGTTTTAGTCTTTCTGTATGTATACATATGTGTATGGTGAATGTATGTAGGTATGTATTTGCCACAGTGTGAAGATCCCTGTGGCTGGATGGCCAGTCAGTCTAGCTAAATCTATGAAAGTCAGATTCAGTTAGAGACCTAGGGTCATAAGCTAAGGGACACGGACACACACACACACACACACACACACACACACACACACACTCACACACACCAAACATATAATTATATTGCCATTTTTAACTCTTAGTAAAATAATAATATTAAAATAAAGCAAATTTGTAT